ATAACACATTGAGTACCTCGAAACAGGAAAAATCACTCAGGCATCAAATAATTAACAAACATTATTTTTTTAAGTATGATCCGATAGATAGGGAACCCACTGGAAAAAATCTGCAGTGCCATACTAATTTAACATGTAAACGGCCATACTGTATGTTAAGCTTCTTGTAACCTCATAATATTGACAATAGATGCATGTTTGACATACAGCTGCGTATATTAGGATTACAACAGGGGATTCCAATTTATACTCAATCACAGTTATGTCTGAAATTAAATCGTGTCACTGTAGCGAACATCATATCAACACGAATAGGAAAGAGTACATATCAGAACGTATAGTTTCTTATTACACTTTAGTCGACTTTTGAGTCTACACATTCTACACACGCTACGACGGGAAGCTGTAAGGACGTTTTCCGGTTTACGTAATTCAGTGCTGCCTCACCTATCATTAGTCCTAATTTCCCTACCTTGTCAGAAGAGCCCACGCTTCAACACTTGTGATCCTTGAAGCGGAGCCTATGACAAACTATGCAATCCTCGACGTCATACATCGTTCGGTTTAGATATTGGCTCGTCCATCATTAGCCCTAATTTCCCTGTTTTGTCAGAAGAGCTCACACTTCACTACCTGTGTTCCTTGAAGCGAAGCCTGTAACGGACTATGTAATCCTCGAAATATTTACGTTTCTTTAGGCTATTTCATTGACGCACATAAATGATCGTAATATCGTAACCAGCATTTTATTAATTTGATTGTGACGTGTTCATTGTGTAGGACTGAGTTTAGATTTGAGATATGAGACCAAATAACAAGCAAACTACAATCAGATAACGCGCATGGTCTGCATGGCTAGCCAGTGTAGATCCTTAATGCGTGCCAATTTCAAGTAGAGACTGATGTGGGTAGTTTGATGACTCTTTCGGCTGCCGGCTAGCTGAAGTTCTTTTCTGCAGTGTCAGTAAAATACACTAGAAAGATTTCACAAACACATGCTTTGATAACTTTTCTAGAGCTTTAATGTGACTGGAAATATTGATCAATCTCAGTAACACGTAAATAGAGAGGGCATTAAAGACGAAATACGGGAGCATCATCATACAGTGACAGTAATTCGCAGCAACATAAACAAACACATAATCGAGAATTCGCGCTTGGCTAATCTGGCTTGCGTGCATGTTTCCTGAGCTCCATACAGGAAGGAAGTCTATTTCCCACTTTCTTTTACCATGTCTTCAAATTTTAATATGCTCGCTAAACTTTTCATATAAAAATTTTTATACAAGAATGAGTTTTACCTGCAAGTTCACTTTCATGTAAATCCAACATCTCGTGATCTATTAAGCCCCGCATTAAGCCTCTCTCGATATACAATTCTTTCCTCTGAAGCTGTATATCTTTTACTATGCCCTATCTCTCGCTGGACAGTAAGCCATGAAAAGAAAACAATATTTTAAGGTAATTTTAATTACTAATAATTACTAATTCGCCACAGTAACTTTGTAACACTTAGGTGAGTTTTGTTAGTATATTGAGCTAGAATTAAAATTTCCCTCATATCTTCTATGAATTAAAAGCCTTCCCTCGCTGATTTCGTATTTGAATTAAGGCCCTTTGTGAAATTGGCTTCTCTCTGTTCAGATGTCTTGAAGGGAAACATTCCTCAAGTGGGCTTAATGGGTTTGTTATTAGGAACAAAATTAAGGTTGTAGCCTTGAAGTAGTTGACGCGTTAGGCTTCATAAAGTCTGGAACAGAGACATAGGCCGTTTGTGGAATTGACTTCTCTCAGTTCAGCTGCCTTGATAGGAAACACTTGCCCTGTAGTCTAAATGGGTTTCGTATTGGAAACAAAATCAAGGTAATGACCCAGGCATATAGCCTCCTCCGCAGACGTTGTTATTGTTCTCCACACACTCCTCAGGAAATATACGAACCGAGCTTTAATTTTACGTAGGCGGCTGCGTAGAGGGGTTAAGGAGGGAGGTCTTCACCTTTTGTGCAAGCAAAGTGGACATGAAAACAAAACGCTTAAAGCAATCGAGGGTAGCTTAAATAACAGCTTAGTGTTTTGATTTGCAGTGAGATTCTGAATATTTGGTGGCTGATGGTTCCTGAGTTTATTTGCGTTCTGTCAACTCGAGCATACAGGAATAATTCATCTTAAC